GATGATATCTGTTTATGGAGGTTCCTATGTTGATGTGTCTCATTTGTCTCTATGGATTTGTGATGGGTTTTTTTTTGGTTTTTGCAGGTGATATTCATGGACAGTACTCTGATCTATTGAGGCTATTTGAGTATGGAGGCTTTCCTCCTACAGCTAACTATTTATTCTTAGGTGATTACGTTGATCGTGGGAAGCAGAGTTTGGAGACTATTTGTCTTTTGCTTGCTTACAAAATCAAATACCCCGAGAACTTTTTTCTTCTAAGAGGAAACCACGAATGCGCTTCCATTAACAGAATCTACGGATTCTATGATGAATGTAAACGTCGATTCAGTGTGAGGCTCTGGAAAGTGTTTACAGATTCTTTTAACTGTCTTCCCGTAGCTGCTGTTATAGACGATAAGATATTATGTATGCACGGTGGTCTTTCTCCCGATCTGACCAATGTGGAACAGATTAAGAACATTAAGCGACCCACCGATGTTCCAGACTCTGGTTTGCTCTGTGATCTGCTTTGGTCTGATCCAAGCAAAGACGTCAAAGGTTGGGGCATGAATGACCGTGGAGTCTCTTACACGTTTGGGCCTGACAAAGTCGCAGAATTTCTTATAAAGAACGATATGGATCTCATCTGTCGTGCCCACCAGGTTGGTCTACACAATATTTCATGTTTTTCTTTATTAGAAAGTCGCAGAATTTCTTACAAAAACCTGCTCGTTTTTCCTTCCCGCAGGTTGTAGAGGATGGGTATGAGTTCTTCGCCGATAGACAGCTTGTAACTATATTCTCTGCTCCCAACTACTGTGGCGAATTCGACAATGCTGGTGCAATGATGAGTGTTGACGAGAGTTTAATGTGCTCTTTCCAAATTCTTAAGCCTGCGGATCGAAGGCCCCGGTTCTTATAAAGAAAGAGGTAGTTCAAGTACCTCTAAAACTGTTTTCACTTCTTGTTTCGGTCTTTCAGAAGATTCTCAGATTGCAATAGTGGTTCATCTGAGATAACCTAGTAAAGCGACTAACTGATGAGACTAGCTCATCTTTTGCATACATAAACTGTATTTTAGATTTGATTTGCTAAAACAGAGTTACTTACAGAGGAATTTTATCATTTGCAATTCAGCAGTTAAAACCTCGCGGGAAAGAAGAGGAAAAAAGCGACATGAAAGTGGGAGAGACGGATACTATTGTCTGAAGCTCCCTGAGAACTTTTATCCGGAGGCCTTGCAAAAAAGGCATCAAAAAGAACACATTTTACATGTTATATCATCAACTTATTTGAACTCTTTGCCATTTTTCTTTTCTCAAAACTTTTATATGATATCTTCTTCTTCTTACTTCTCTGACTCTCTATAGACAGTT